ATATATATATATATATATATATATATATATATATATATATATATATATATATATATATATATATATATATATATATATATATATATATATTGACGCTGTTTGGGACGGGCCGCGTTTGGTCGCACTGCGAAATTTGAATCGAAAAAAAAAATAAAAAACAAAAACCAAAAAAAGGGTTATCACGGGGACGATCACGTGGTACTTTTCCATGCCTGCCGAAACAAACGAAAGGATAAATATAACTACGTAAACTTATAAGGAGATTGACAATAATGCTTGGACGCACGGATGAATTCTGGCACCGAAATCTTCCATGCTTTGTATTACTTTTCTTCGTTCCGCATTCCCAAACAAAGGTTGTGATCCGCGAGACCGTGGCTCTGCATGTGCAGGTGCATTGGGGGTTTCCCGCGTCGCGCTGTCACCGCTGTGTGGTTGAACATGGAACGCCAACAGTCTTCTGCGGGTGCGCCGACGTCGCTGAGTTCCCCGTTGCTTCCGATGCCTGCGGCGTTCGCATCGTCGTCCGCCGCATTCACCACCCCGGCAGGCTCTCCATTGTACCACGACATTTCGCGCGGTCGTGCGGGAGGGCTTTTGGATCCGCACGGATGAAGTAGAAGCGATGCTGTGCTTGCGAGACCAGCGACCAGGCAGCGTTTGGACGAGAGGATGTCGGTCATCCCATTTCCTCCTGTCGCGAGTTCGACAACCGTCATGCATACTCCTTTCCCGAGTCATCTGCGCTGTCTCATTGCTGCAATTCCTCCTCTGCCAACGTTCTCCGGGGATCCGATGAAGTCTCTTTTTGCGCAATCCACTGTAATTCCAATGCGCCCTCCTCTTTCGTCACCTCTTGGGCTGCTAGCTGGGGTGTTGCCGACCCCAACTTCCGGAAGTGCTTCTATTTATGGGGTTTGTCACGATCGTCCAGACCACGTCGTGTGTGCCTTCGTCCACATTTCCTCGGCCACCGTTGTTGCGGTGCTCGCCCCCTGACAGCGCAGGTGGAGTTCCCGGTTTGGGTGTCATTGCATCGACCCCCCTTCATGAGCCGGAAGAGGTGCAACCTTTCAATGATAGACTGCGGCCACCGTCCTGCACTCCCGTCTCCACGGACCATGCACCCGATGGGGTTTCGCCGTATGACGATAGTGAAGCCGGGATGAGTTTCTCGCCTGCGTGGCACAGGATCAGGTCTACTACACCTCCGTCGGTCAACAGTCATTGGGTGCGATGTAGACGTGATCAGCAGTTGCGCTTGAGTTCGATCGCAAGGGCGATGTGCAAGAAGTTGTCGTCCCTTGCTCGTAGCTCGGGAGACAATAGAAAAAAATATTGTTCTTATGAAAACGTGTTCGATCAACTCCTCAAGTGGAGTGCTGGCCGCGTCGATGACCTTATGGCGACGTACGGGCCGAGCGAGCAGTCGTCTGGCCGAGGAGGTTCTTGCGGGGGGGGGGTCGGCGTCGACTGGCACTCCGCGGTCACGAGGTGGTCGACCTCGAAGTAATGCTTTGAGATGGCGCGACGGCAAAGACGGATTTGCAGACAATGKTCCAATGTTTGAAAGGTTGACGGTGAGGGACCACATGGCCRTGTGGGATGCACCTGCGAGACCTGATGTCGTGTTTCTTGAACYKGTGAAACTTTTGCAGATTCTCGGCATGTTCRAGAAAACGTGTCCTCGACACGGGAAAGAGGTGGAGGYGACGRTAGAGAAGATATCCTATCCTTGTCACATTTGCAAGTTGCAATTCGTGTGCGGGAAAGGGTGCACTTGGCACTGGAATTCCGCGAAGGTTGTCAAAGGTGGTGTGAGAGATTCGAGGATGGAGACACAGTTGTTCCACTCCACTGTGGCTGCGGGGATGACGCACACCCAACTGAACAACCTATTGATGGGCCTCGGAATGAAGAAGGTCAGCAAAGAAACATTCTACATTTTTTTCCGTGATGAAGGCAAAGGTTCGAGACAGTGGTTGCGACACGTGGAACGAGTTACACAAAGGAGCTTCAACAAGGTCGTCGCACGTTTGCGCAGATCTAACGCTCCGGTTGTCGTATTGGTCGACGACCGTTACGACTCGTCCCGTGATGCGCAACATTGTACGGTGACGGCGCTGGACTTGAAGTCTGGGATGATCGTGGGTACGGAGACGATGTTGAGGGGGGGCGAGTCGTCGTGGAGGCTGGAAACGCAGTGCGTGGAGAAACTCCTTCATCGATTGAAGGACGAACACAACCTCATAATCGCTGAGGTTGTGCATGAAGACTGTGGTGCGGTTGACGTCATCCTGCGACGAATGAACATGGACTCGCAGAAGTGTATGTGGCACAAAGCCAAGACTTTGGTGAAACACTTGCGAGAGGCAGTGCGTGCCACTAAGACTGTCAAGCCATCTATGGTGGGCGCTTGCGAGCACGTTCGCGAGGTGAGGTGTTTCACAAAGAAGGAGCTGGAAGTGTGGCTCGAGACGAAGGGTGTGCGCGTGCCTGGGGCTGCCATGAAAAAGAAGGACGAGCTTGTGGAGATAGTGTGGGGTGTGTTGTTTCCCAACGAAGCAGGGAAGCCGTTGGAAGATGATGTTGTCGAGATCGACGCGTTGGAGGGCTTGCATTGCAATGCGGCGGAGGAGGCGAAGGAATGGTTGTACGGTGCTTGCCGGATGCGAGAACGGGCGCGGGATGACGACGGCGATGTGTTGGCCTCACATGTGCAACACCTGGCCGATCACTGGGCTGGGGATCACTCGATGTGCGGCAAGGAGTTGTCGAACCTGTGCAAGGCGGCCGGCGGTTCAGTTAGAGAGCCATTGTACGAGGCTGGGGGTCGGGTTCATGCAGCCGTTTCACGATGTTTGCAGCAGTTCACTTCGAACACGAAGATGGCATACTACACACGTGCGAGAATGACGTTCAACAACGAATGCTTCCACTCTGTGATCAACAAGTATTGCACAAAACGATTGAACTTCCCAAAGTCGTATGACGCGCGGATTTATTGCACGGCACTGGAATGGAACAAGAACAAACGAATCAGGCTATCACACACTACTTTCCGCAAACCCACGAACGTCACCCATCGACGACGCTCCGCAAGACGTCACGTTTACCCCGGTCGCGACACGTCGTGGCGATTCGATATTGCAACTGCAGTTTTTGGGAGTCCTTGGGTCGGTGACTGGGCCTGTAACATGTTGCATCAATCGGACGTCGACGACCCGGTTGTTGAGCATGTTGATGTTGATGCTGATTTCGGACTTCCGGTTGCTGGTGAGAGCATAGCCCAGGGTGACGAAGGTCAAGGTGCCGACATTTTGTTCGAGTCTACGAGCGATGATGACTCGGATGATGAGAAGTCATCATCGGATTCCGAATGCGAAGGTGCCGCTCAGCGCCTCGACTTTGACGGCGTCGTGCTATCGCAGGAGATGTCTGTTGTGAGGGGTTGATAGCGGGCGATGGTCTGTCGTGCGGGAGTGAGAGCGGCATTTGGTCGGGGAGTGACGTTGTAGTCAGGTAAATATGCAGAGTCATTGTACATAATTTATTTCAGGAGTTGCATTTTCCGAGTTCCATTTTGTTGAAAGCGGCATTCCGTATTTTGGAAGTTGCTTTTGGTTCTGGAATGACATTGTCGTAAAGTGCAATTTGCAGAGTCACTGGCCAGAAAATGAGTTTCTTTACATTGTCTGGAATGACATTATCGTAATGTGCAATATGCAGACTCAGTGGGCAGAAAATAAGTTTTGTTACATTGTCTCGAATGAGGGAGAGAGAGAGAGAGAGAGAGAGAGAGAGAGAGAGAGAGAGAGAGAGAGAGAGAGAGAGAGAGAAAGAGAGAGATGATATGTAGA